GTGTGTTAACAATGTCATGTGTGCTAACAATGTGATGTGTATTAACAATGTCATGTCCATTAACAATGTGATGTGTGTTAACAATGTGATGTGTGTTAACAATGTCATGTCCATTAACAATGTGATGTGTGTTAACAATGTCATGTCCATTAACAATGTGATGCGTGTTAACAATGTGATGTGTGTTAACAATGTCATGTCCATTAACAATTTGATGTGTGTTAACAATGTGATGTGTGTTAACAATGTCATGTGTATTAACAATGTCATGTGTGTTAACAATGTCATGTCCATTAACAATGTCATGTCCATTAACAATGTCATGTGTGTTAACAATGTGATGTGTGTTAGCAGGTTTAGTATTTTAACGTTGTTCATCCACCTTGCTTATGTTAGAGAAGTGGGTCAGATTCTGTAAAGTCCAACATCCTAGCAACGTGATGTAACAGTTAAAAAAAGTTTAACGACTCGTGAAATAAGTTGTAGAATAATGTTTACTTACTGAAACTTCACCCAAACCTCAAAGTTGTATTCCCCTAACGTTAATTTACATCTTAAAATCTAACTAAGAACTTTCTCAGAGAAGTAATTTATTTGTTTATCACAAGAAGTGAATTTGGGTCCAAGTAGCGAGATTAAGTGGGCAAAGTAATGAAATCCTTGATGAATCAACAATCTTTTCTTGTTTCTTGTTACCAACCTACCACTTCCTGTGCCAGGTGTAGCTGTTCTCTTCACCTCCAAACCCGTCAGTTTCCTTAATTAAGAACAATAACATCTGAATCACTTCCGTTAAACATGAACCTCGGTAATTAAGACAGTCTTTTTCCACATTTGGAGATTCTTGTTGTTTTAAATCTTTACAGCAGTTAATCACTACAGACTGATACATCATAGTTTTAATACAAGGACTACTTTCGTTTGCAACTACTCGTGACATTCTCGACTTGTTGTCGCTGATTAGACTAACATGTTCTCCAGTGAAAGGCAGTACCATTGGTTCATTGGTACCGAAACTAGGGAATAGTAACTAACGTATTGTTTACTAGTCCTTCCAAACGAGGTTACTGATTGGGTTGTGTTGTAAGAATATTTTTCCTGTTTGATAACGTTTAGAATATGTTCTATAGGGGGGTAATATACTGCTTTTACAATGTTTTAGTAGTGTTTAAAGATTATTAATGAATCACCCATAAAATTTGTGATTTGAATCAGACTTGAAACTGTCACACTTTAACAAATACAGGGGCGAAACTTTTATGTTTGTAACCACCCGAGTAACCAGATAATTTTCTGGGACCCACCCATTCTCAATGGGTGTTGGGGTGACTAATCTACTAATATATGTTTGGTAAAGTCTGGTCGTATTTAGTGGTTTTGTTTATCCAAAACATTTCATGGTTGTTATTTCACAAATCATTTTGAAACAAAAAATATTTCCACTTTTTTACTGTGTCCCACTGTTTGGTGTCTCGTTGTGTGACCCACTGTTTTGGTGTCTCGTTGTGTGACCCACTGTTTTGATGTCTCGTTGTGGTTGTGACTTGTTGCTAGGA